TCTCACAGGGGCTGATGCTCTTGGATGCCCCTTGTCCCTCCTCCTCTGTCTCTGGGGACCCCACTAATAGCAGTGGGCAAGGTTCTCCCCCCAGAGTGTCACTACTGGAGGACAGCACTGCTGCAGCCATGTGGAGCTCCTGCTGACTCCAGGGGAAGTGTACCTGCATCTTCCCAGGGCACAAGGCAGCCCCTGGGGCTGCAGCCACCCCTTTCCCAAGCCACAGAGGCAGGTGGAAAAGCACAGCAGTGCTAAGGTCACTAGCAATGGTGCTGGACTGGTCTGCAGCAGGGCCTGACCCAGCCACCACCAGGTTAAAGGATGTCCCCTGATTTTAGGGCTTTGGATGAGGCCCGAGCACGAAGGGCAGGAGCAGCACCGAGCTGAAGTGATTCACCTTGCAACCAACAGCTAGTCCTGTGTAGGCAGGCACACAGTTTGTGGTGGCTGGGAGTCGGGCTGTGGCCCAGCCTCATCCCTAATGGGCTACAGGTGTGAGCAGCAGGTGAGCAGCACTGACAGCAATGAGCCATGGAGTGCTCAGGGCACTGCCCAATCCCAAAGGGAGCAGAGGGCACACAGGTGCACTGCATCAACGTGAGGGGATAAAAGGTTGGGCTAAAGAACAAGGAGGGCAGATGCTTGCAGCCTTCTGAAGTGACATCATGGTACTCTGCATGGGCAGACAGCTGAAGCCTTCTGGTGTGGTAAGGTGTATACTCTGTTTGGGGGAATGTTTAAAGCCTTCTGAAATTGTATGGTGATAATTCTGTGTATTGTGGCTATCTCAACTGCAGTGTATGCTGTGACAGTCCTAATAAGGACAAGTTAAGGTGGTGGTAGTGCCAAAAAACACAGGAAAGTAGAAGCTGCACAAAATAAATGCAAACTTGGATATCTGAGCAAGTAGAAAAACCTAAGGAGCTGAAGAGAGTTGTGCCTCTGATAAAGTACTTTTGCAAACCCCTTGGCTCCTCAGGAATTAAAAGGATGTGCATTCCTGTCCTGTTCTCTTTGCTGTCTCTTGCTTACTTATATCAAGAGGGAAAAATGAAAGCAATAGTTTGTTGCATGATCTTGGTGATGTAAAGGAGCTTCCCTGAAAGGATGTTAGATCAAACACCACAGAGTTGCCAGGAGATGTGGACAAATCCTGTCATGGTTAGCTTTGCATTTTTAAATATTTTGTATTTATAGGCACACAGCTTTATGCCTTGAAGACTTCTGAGGGCATGGGCAGGGCACACACACACAGAGGGAGGTAGGTCTGTAAATGGGGACTGGTACATGGCTGGGGAGGCTGTGGTGCCACGGGTGGAAACCATGCCCCAGCATGAGAAAAGTGATGTCAGCTCATGTTTTTTGGGAACAGTGGAAAAATATTGAGATTTATTCCAGCATCCTGCTTTAGGGACTGTTTATCTCTCTTCACTTATGCATGTAACTCCCAGTGACACTAACTGGACCCTTCAGGCCCTGCTGGTCCCATCCTGCATTTATGATGAATGCAGTGCTCACGTGGAGGCCTGGGCAGGGTGTCCTGCACGGCTCCTGGGCTGGCTTTGTGCTGTCATTGAGCCTCTTTCCCTGCCTATCTCTGTCCCTGCATCTCTGATGTGCCCAGGGTGAGAGCAGCTATGCCATGGCAATTCAAGAGGCCCTCAAAAAGCAGCTGATAGGGAATAATTATTTAAACATGACACCTCATTCCATCAGAAAGGGTGTGCCGTTTACAGAGGGCCTGAGCCTTGTCTCCTTGAGATTAGCAGGGGTTTAACATGGAGTTGAACAGGAATGGGATGTGCTGCTAAGAGCTACACAATGAAGCCTTTTAGTCTCAGCACTGGGGAAAAAGTCCTGTTGTCAGAATAAGTCCATGCTCAAGCTTCTGTTTTCCCTTGCTCTGTGTTAGATTTCCATCTGTAACCTGCAGAAATCCTTCTGGCCCCTGCTCATCGGTGGGATGAAATTGCTTTCTCCCTTTTATGTCTCTAATTCATTTCAAGGGATGAGCTACAAAAGCATGTTTTAAGAATGAACAGAAATTGTGCTGTCATACCCTAGTTATGTCTTGCCGCTACTTTTTATTTTTGTCATACCGTTTCTGAGGATTTTTGGGGTTTTTTCTTCTCTGGGGCTGTACTGGATCACTCATTGAGCCAAGCACAACTGCACAGCAGTGCTGCTCTGGGGAGCTTAGAGTAATAAATTGGTGTGTAAGGATTCATGGTGCCATTTTTTAATGCCAGGGAGTGTATTAGACACTGGTAAACTGGCCCAATTTGACCTAAGTGGAACTGTCTTAATTTGTTTCCAAGTAGCTTGCTGCCTGTACCTTTAAAATATCTGCTTTACATAGTCAGTGTCAAATGTGTTAGAATAATATTAGCACAGGTAAGTAAAATACCTTTTTATAAGGCTTTAAATCATTTCTGTTACAGTTTAATGTGTAAAGCTACAGATTTTCCCAATTTGTTCGTAAGGTTATGTATCACAGACCTTAAATCATTTAAGGTTTTAAACCTGAGGGGTTCACTCTCAGTCATGAACTGGAAAGCAGATTGCAAGAGACATTGACATGCTGATCAATGACATGAAGCCTCCAAACAAATCAGTACAGGACTTTAAGAGATGAAGCCTTACTGTGTTCTGTCTGTCATCAGAATTTATAAAGCATCTTAGTGAAAGCCCCTTGAGAATCATTCCTAGAATTTTGCAAGTCATGAGCGTGTATGTAAAAGCTGAATTTTTTTTAAACACAAGTAGCCTTGTAATAGCATAGCAAAAATGTGCTCTGTGATGTTGGTGTAGGAGTACTAAGAACCTGTTTAGTGAGATAACATCTTTCAGAAACCTAACAGTTTATTATCTTTGTTTCTGTTTCTTGGCTTTTACATTGAATGAGCTGCAAGTAAACACTAGAAAGGTATATCTTCAAGATTTTAAGACATCAACAAGAGCAGAAATTCGAGACAAACAAGCTGTCACTGTTTTTAGATACTGTGCAACTAAAATGTTGGATGGGACCTATGTTTATCAGCAGCAGTCCAGGAATTTGCTGTTCCTATGCGTTCAAATATAGTAACTGAAATTCACTTATTTAAATTCTAAAGTGTTATGGGCCTTCATAAATGGGATCTGAATCCTATCTAGACAAAATTTCATGTCTAGGAAGAACAAATCTGATGACAGAAGTTTCCTTTACCCAGTTACAAAATGGTTTTTATTCTCTCTAGCACATTGTAGGTGCTTCTCTAGCCTGTTTCATGGTTGTCTTCTCATGTAGCTGGGTTTACCCATTGATACAGGGTGCTGGGTTGGAGTAATGCCTCCTACCTGCTCACCACCCATTCACCTCAATAGGGAAATGTCTCATGAGAGGACAGGCTTTTCTGTTCAGGGCTTATAATTAAAATATAAACCCAGAGATAACTGGCAGGTAAAAGAAAGCTGGGCACGAGGGAGAGCAGGGAAGAGTGTCTACCTAGGTATGAGGAACAATGGGGATGGCAAAGCAGGTGATTACTGCAGGATAGCTGGTGGTTTGTTGTGGAAATGTGAGTTTTAAAGAAGGGGCTTGAAGCGTTAGTTGGAGTAATTTTGTGTCAGAAAAGTTGCATGGCAGAATTATCACTTGGAAAAGGTTTTGAAGCATGTGGCAAAGCCTGGCTCAGTTTGCAGGCAAGGAGGGAAGCAGCAGGATTTGAGAAGCCTTGCAGTGAGCCATCACAGTGGCAATGAGTATGCCGTGGTTGGTGTGGTGGGAAGCAAAGGGGAATGAGGAGGTGGTTGGACAGAGTGGGACACTGCCCATGCCCTGAGGGTAATCCTGACAAGGTGGAGACTGCACAGACCTTAGAGGACACAAGAGAAGTGTTGTCTCAGTATTGCACTAAGGTGGGCTGTGCTGCTTAGTAACGAACTTCTGTTTTCAGAATTATTTCGTACTGTTTTCATCATCAAGAGGAGCCCTCAAAACTGTTGTTTACCCTTCAAGCCAGCAAACAGCGTTGAGCAGCAGTGTGGTCCTGTCGGTGTTGACTGATTTAAACCAAATGCAGTCCAATGGCCGAGCTCCTGATGATTTCCCCCAGAAATGAAGGTGGCAGTTCTGTCCACAGTGACCACCACAGCCCTCAGAGCAGTCAGTGCTTCTCTGGGCAGTCAGTGCTGCTAAGGTGAAGCCCTGAGGCTGTGCTACTTGAACTGTGGTTTCAGAGCCTGCTGCATGAAAGAGTTTGGTTGATGTAGATGTACAAAGTGTATTATTTGGAAGTGACCTTTAATTTTATTCGTTAGACGTTCATAGGAATAAACATAGTTAAAATTCTCAGTCATATATTCTTCAGATTATAGCTTCAGTCGGCTGAACTTTATTTTGCTCGAAGAACACCCTTTGTTTTTGTCTCTATTTTGCTTACTAATGTAATGGCCCTAAATTCACTACTGACAAATATCTTGGAAGTATTCTGCTTGGCTTTTACTGCTGGCTCTTATCTGTTTTAAGTAGGGTTTATTAGATGAGATCATCTATAAAGGACTTATTTCTGTTATAAAATGGAATTAAAAAAAACTAAAAATACAATTAGTAGCTGTTCTCTTTTTACTCAGTTTGAAAGATTAGAATATCAATGTCAAAGAGAATAACTGGGTTTCTGGAGTATGCTATGCAACTTTTGTTTTATCCTGTTTTGTCCTCTTTTGCTGTACTGTCTAGGGGAAAGGATCAGAAGAATTTCATTCTGTTCCTCATCATTATCTTGAGAGGAGGTTTTGCCTCTCAAAACAATCCAGAACTGAAAGAAGTTTTCAGTTCCAAATATGAAATGACCACCGCACATGTACATTACGAAAACACATTTTAATGTGTTAATCTGGTTAATATTTCAATTCTTAATGCTGTCTGCTGTCCTGTAGATTGCCTGCTTGAGGTGGCATTGTAATATTTTAATGTAAATGTCTGATTCAAACACTGTTTTGACATACTAAATTTCTCACAGGTTTTATTTTTCCAGTTGTGACCTTCAGTACCTATCCTGTGTCTTTTAAGAATTTCCTCATCCAGGGAACAGATTCATTGGCTTAAGAATAACTGGTAAGAATACTTATATTGCTCTCATAATTTTTTCTTCTGCTTATGGATCTGAGTCTGGCTTTATTTTTCCATCTTTAAAAAAAAAAAAATGAGGTACCTAAATTAGATTTTTAAATCAGTTCTTGTACTTTTTTATGTCTTCAAAAATATTATGTCTATGTCTTGCAAAACTTTTTATTGTAGTTCTTTCAGGTTGTAGTGAGCTACAAATAGATTTTTTTTTCAAGAAAATATTCTGCTTGGTAAAATCATGAGCATTCATCTTTATGCAGTTGATATGTAATAATTGTGTTGGGGATGAATCATCATTTATTACTTTATCATCAGACTGCTGATTTAAAAAAACCCATGACACTCCTGATTAAATTAATTTTATCATTTTTTTGGTTTTTTTTCCTCCTGTAAGTTCAATAGAACATCTCATGCATATTATTAAGAACCATATTCTGTATATTAGCATGAGAAGAACACCCATGAAAATCAGTGGGTGGATGGGTGTACTACATTGTATATGTGATTTTCCTCTGAGCTATTCCAGTGCAGTAGAAGAAAAGCTCCTGTAAAGTCTGAAAAATCAGATTGGTGTGGAAATAGGTGTGAAATCAAAACTGGGTTATTTGGCCCTCAGTTTGAAATAAAAGTCTAGCTTCCTAGGAAATAACCAATAATTAATTCCACATTCCACATGCAATAATTGATCCTTAAATCAAAATTTCTGATAGCTTCTGCTCCCAAATCAAATTCTTATGTTATTTCTTTATTTTAATTGTTATACTGGGTTGTCCATTCCTTTTTAGATCTTGTGAATTAGCAGAAACTCAATGATTCAGAGGAGTTGTGCTGATTTATAGCTGATGTGAGAGGATATCCAGGCATATTAAAGCTTCAGTACTGCAAAGGCATAAGCAGGTATTGAATTACTGATGCTAATGGAATTACTCACGTGAGTAAAGTTAAGTAGAGACGTAAGTGTTTTCAGGATTGATGTCTGTACTTACAAATTTATATCATTTAAGAGTATGGCTCACAATTTTTAAAACTTACTAATTGAGTGTGAGCTACTGGATTTTATTCTAGACAATTGACTTGAAAAGAATTACAGTGACTTGATTCTAGAATAATTCCATCAGCTTCAGAGAGGAGATGTGCATTTTTTAATGCTGTAAATAAGGATGTAGTTTGACCAATTCACTCCACTGATCCCCACTAATATCAGGAAATACTTGCCAGAGTAAAGGAGGAGCACAGGACTGGACAATTAGTGATACAAATGGTTTCAATCAAATGGTTAAATAGCTCAGCAAAGACATGGTTCGTTTTGTAATAGCATTTGGAATCCAAATAAAACCATCTGAGGGATGTGCTGTTTGTTGTGATGTTAATGCACAAAACAGAAAACTCTCAACATGTCTTGAATTTCAGGGGGGTGTTATGAAGCCATTACATGTTAAAAAAAAAAAAAAATAGAAAAAATTCCAAGACCACAAACTTAAAATACGCATGCAGAAGCTCCTACTCAATTCTAATTAACAAAGCTTACCTTTCTCTTGACCATAGAGGTCATCATGTAAACTATTTAAATTGATAGTAATATTATGCAGCATGAAATTAATTTTACATTGTATACAGTTTTTATTGTGACTTTATCTTGTTTCAAAAGTGCTTACTTTCTGATTTTGTGGATATTACTGACTGGATTACTTTTATTTTCGTTTTTACACAACAGTTATATTAGAAATTTGCTGTTTTATTCTTACCTTCTTAGTAAAAATCCTTTTATCACACAATGGGTAATTTATATCCATTACCAGCCCTTTCAATCCTTTTCAGTGGTGCTGTCAGTGCCTTTGGCACAGTAATGATTAATGTGATCTAATAATAGTGTGCCATTATATTACCTTAGTAAAACATGTACCAACATCCTATTCAGATCTACCAAATTCATAGCTTCCTATAATATTTTTGTTGAAAGACAGGATTACTATTTTTCAAAGAGGAATTTTTTTTTTTTCCTTTAACATATTTAATGAAATTCACAATTCTTTGCCATGGTAATCTTTGTGCATGCATTTGGGCTTGATGGGCGAATTTTATATCATTCTGCATTATTATGATTTGTTAGGCAAATTGTTTGACACGTAAAGAAAGATATGCATTACGTGGTTTTGCTTTGTTAAGGGTGCATTTTAAGCACTCGGTACCTTCTGATTATTCTGATTATTCTGCTGCATTTATCGTAGAGGGTATATTTAGATTGCAGTATGCAAGAACAAGTATTTGGGCTAAAATGTCTTTTTCTATATTCTAACCCAGATAATGTCCCATTCTGCAGAAGGCAAGCTCTCTGCTCCTCTGCCCAGCAGAACCAGTTTTGGTTACAGTTGTTTTGCTGTGGTGCTTTGGCACTTCTTTGCCTTTTTTTTTTTTTTTTTTTTGGCCAGTAGAAATGTGCAGAATGGTGCCCAACTGTGAGCTAGAAATTGGGATCATGCCTGTAGTTTTCAACCCAAGGTAAATACACCCAACAGCCAAAGCCACATGTATCTGCCCCACACCTGAGTTTCACCCAGATACAGCATTGCTTGACCCCAAGCTCCAGCTGTCAGGTACTGCCAATTAACCCAAGAGACAGAGAAATGGTTCAGGGAGCACCTTTTTTGGTAATAAAAAACCTTGGTGCTTGTGGAAGTGTTGGAGTGGTGTGTGTGACTGGCTGCCTTCAGTCAGTCTAGTTAGGCACTGATGGGTGCGTGGAGGGGTTTGGTGCTGCTCTTGCATCGAGCACTGATTCCCCCCAGTCCTCTGCAGCAGGACTGTCCAGTCTTGGGTTCATCTGTTTAATAATGCTCCTGTTCAGTGTGGCTGAAGAGTTGGGATAACACTGCATCCTTGCAAAGCATCTTAAATCTTCATCACCCCAAGATGTCATTATTGCAGTCAGGGAGACACATACTTAACACTGTCGCAGCAAAATCGAAATGAAACAGCATGTCCACATTTTAACTCTACTTTGTGATGTTTGTTAAATACATACTCTTACTGTTTCATCATATCACAATAAATAATGAATGAGAAAAATATTTTAATCTTGTCAATACTGGGAATGTCTAAAAACAAGCAAAGTGTGTGTATGCATTTATGTGGATTCCTTATTTGATTTAAGCTAAGCGATACAGCTGTAACATGATTTGAAATATGCAATCAATGTAAACGAAGAAAAATATTTTGAATGCAGTATATAAACTGCTTGGTTTTTTAGACATATTTTTAGGAAAAGAAAGAAAGATTATGATTGTCATACCATGTAACAATAATACTGCCACTGGAAATATATGCAGCAGCTTTATTTTCTGCCACAGTAAAGACAATCTTAAGTCTTGGTCATTTAAATACAAGACATTCTCATCTCTTCCATGTAGCTGATTCTTCCTGACATAACAAGAAATGAAGGGGAAAATAAAGCCTGAAATCTTGTTTCAGCATTGTATTCAAAAGGCTTAAGGAAAGTTCCAAAAGATGCTTCCCTGTTTTTAGTAATAAATAGTTATGTACAAAATAGAAAAGCCTTTTACTCTCCAAAATTAATTTACTGATGGACATATAATTATTTAAAGCTCTAACAGCTGTACCACCTTTGAATTAGAGATGCCTTAGGTTGGACTGTGTATTGTGCAGATTGCATTATACCTTACTGCTTTATTGCTCCTGCATCCTGCAGTTTTACCAGTCAGGGCCAAGCTGAAATGAAAAATGGTGGCTTTCTTTTTTGGACTAAGAATAGAATGGTCAGTGAAAGGTTTCTCCCTCATTTTTCCACATGCAACTCAAAATAGATGTAGGAGACTGCAGAATAGACTTCTCCATGGTCTAAAGCATTTTCAGGGTCTGGTTGGCTGTTTTTTGATATTGTTCTGTTCAGTGAGAGATTCTTGTATGAAGTGCTGGGAGCACCAGGTTCCTCACGGTTGTTTTATGTCTCTTTCATATATACTCTTTCATATATACTCTTGGTATAGTCAGTGAATTGGCCAGCCAAAGATTATTTCATCTGCACATCTGTCTGTCTTTGCTCTGATGGGACAGAGGCCCTGATGTGTCACCTACTCACATCTCTGGAGTAGGAGTGGTTAGAGAGGGGAGAAGAGGACCCTGATGCAGCTGCACAAGCTGTTAAAGAGCCCCATTACAGTTCACTGCCCCTGTTTGAGCTCCTGCCTGTGTTGCTGTACTGTGATCCTTAACACACTTGGGTAGGTTAGGAAGTGGCTTCTTTTGTGTGACTCTGAAAGAAAGGCCTCCCAGTAAGCAGAGGAAGAAGAATAAAATAAAGAATCTTGGCCTAGTCTTGAAAGATAGAAAGGCACAAGAGGAAAAGTATTTTTTGGCTTTTAAGGCTAATTTTATCTCTTGTGAAGGCATCAAGTCCATGAGTAGAAGTGGCAACTGGAAGTTCTTGGGTTATATTACTAGCCACTGGACTACTGTGTGACTTTAGTAATGAAACGTAAATGTTCTCTCTGTTCCCTAGTGGACATAATACCATTTACCTGTCTCAAAAATGCTTTGTAATTTAATTAACACTTGGAGTGCTCTTTGAGCTCCTTAGATAAAAGCAGGCAAAATGAGTCAATTGTTACAGAAATCCCAATTTATCCCTGTTTTAAAAAAAATACACTTTGTCTTGACTTTTTCAAACCTCAGATAATGTTTGATAGGGGTTTTGGGCTTTGTTCTTACTGGTCCTTGGAGTCACTTATTCTTAGTGATTTGCATAGGCATGGTGTAGGTATTACTTTTTTGTTCAACAGGGTATTTTGGTGGATCATAAATTACCAGTCCCTGTGCTGGGAATCTGCTTCTGAGACAGGCATACATTTTCAGAGGGAAGTTTGAGTTGTGCTAGACAAGTTCTTCATTATTCTTCAGTATATACATTTCATTGTTTAGGGGGAAAGATTTCTTAATTTTTGGTTGTGCACTGGATTTAATAGCTTGGGTTT